GAGAAGTTGGCAGACATCCTGAAGTAGGCAGCTAGGTTCAGCCTCACGTGAGTCTGTTCACTGTCAACTTGGATAGAAGGGCAGGTGGAGTGAGTGGTCTCTCAGATTTTCCTTTGAAAAGATTTCATCTCTTCTTTTCTGGTTAGTGGTAACAACATTCTTAGATCCTGCCTTTTCTCTTTCCTCTGAATTCCTCTCCCTAAGTCCTCTCTCCTACCCTTTTATATCAAACTGACTTTCTCCATAACTTAGAGTGCTCAAGGGTGATAGAAATCCAGAAGCTCTGATGAGACCGAATAACTTTCATAAGATGAGGATGGTACAAGGACCTGTTGCACATGCACACGTGTGTGTGTGTCTGTGTGTGTGTGTGTGTGTACACGTGAGTGCACTCAGTTGCTTGGTCATGTCCAACTCTTTGTGACCCCATGGACTGTAGCCCAGGACCAGGCTCCTCTGTGCATGGAATTTTCAGGTAAAAATACTGGAGCCAATTGCCATTTCCTACTCCAGGGGATCTTTCCAACACAGGGATCGAACCCTCAACAACTCTTGCATCTCCTGTATTTGGCAGGTGGATTCTTTACAACTACACCAGCTGGGATGCCCACAAGGACCTGCTACTGAACAGCAGATATTTCAGTCCTCTAACAAGTCCCCATGTCCACCTGTCCAAACTTACTAACTTTAGACACCTTCTAGACACTCTGCCCCCACCCCATCTACAATCTTACCATTCTGTTTTTCCTTTAATGCTGGTTTTTCATTCCTACATGGGCATATTGTCCCCCTCATTTTTGGTAATTTTGAATGTCCCTGAATGGATTTGTATTCAACTCTTTGTGGGGACGAGGGAGACTGAGAAATTCATGTTTTCAAACAAATGGTTCTGCTTTGAGGGAGACCAGGAATTGCTGTGTGAACGTACAATGCAAAAACACTTCTCTCATGTTAAGACCTCAGCAAAACTTGCACAAAAACGATGAGTTCAGGAATGGGGATAATAAAGCAGCAAGTTCTGCTATAAAGGAACGTTTTGGAAAAGGAAATGGCAACCCACTCCAGTACCCTTGCCTGGAAAATTCCATGGATGGAGAAGCCTGGTAGCCTACAGTCCATGGGGTCGCAAAGAGTCAGACACGACTGAGCGACTTTACTTCAATACTTCAAGGGTTAAAAAGATGTTTGCAAATTAGGCAACAGCTCAGAAGTAGCCTCCTAACAGGTATCAATATGGGATAGGAGAACTGGAAGTAAAGATTAGCTACTTAAGCAAACAATTAGGACACAATTAAGGTCAATTCGACCTCTTGCTGAGGGTAAATCAGACTCTTAAGAGAAACAGGCCAATTGCCCTCAGGAAAGAGGGTACAGGATCTCCTACTGTCTCTTTTTGAATTTGGTCTGATGTAGTTTGCTTCCACAGAAGTGCTATGTATAACTAAGTCCCTTTACAAGACCTGAGTTACTGATCAAAACTTTCCATTACCAGAGAAAGGGTCTTCACACCCTCTTATCCAACTTTAATTCTGTAACACCTCACAGATTAGTAAAACATGAAAGCAGTATGCTTCCATGATGTTAAATTTATTTTTGGTGCCTCTCAGTCTTCATACTCTGAAGAGATGCTGCTTCATGGACATGTTCTGGAAACATCGATGTTCCAGAGCCTGATACTGGCAGGTCTGTGCACACAGGGTGTTGGATCGTCCTCCAGCTGAGCATCTGTCAATCCATCAAGTCACAGTTCTCAGCCATTTCTTACAAAAAAGCAAGACCGATTCACTGAATTCAGTGAGACCAGGGTCAGACAGTGCTATGAGATACCTTGCTCACCTAAAATAAGACACCACTCAAGAGTGATGATGAGTAGTAATACAGATTTCTAAAGGTGACCTCTGAAAATACAAAAATTCCTTGAAGATTTTATTAGTGTAGAAACTAGCACCCATAAACCCTACATAAATTCTGTAGAATGATGACTGGCAGCCTAATTTTAACTCTAGTATACTTTCTTCTTAAACATTTTGTAGTCACAGGCCACTTTTTCCAGCTGCCAAACTAGCAAGACCTCAGAGATGAGTGTGTTTTACCTATTAAGTCAAATAATTAAATAGCTAAATCTGCTATAAAAATTAAGCATTTCAAGGATTAAAAAGCTTTTAACTTTGGATAATTGAGAGTTGCCTTTTACGCTGATCTAAATCAACATAAACAAACAGATAAATCAGCTTGAGAGAAAAGTCCACTTCTAAGTCAATTTTTTAATAAAATATTATCGAACAAGTTCCACATTCTAAGTCTCTTTCCATTAGTGTACATAATCGTATTATCTGGACCCATTAACATGCTTCCCTGTACTCTATTTGAGTTGCTCATATTCCTGAAGGGAGAGGTTAAAATGTACCAAATTAAAAAAAAAAAAACTGGCATGAAATCAAGTTGTAATCTAAAAGCCCCAAAGAACTCTGCTTAATTAAAATACTCTCAAGCAATGAGCATTTGTTAAAGAAATGTGTCTCATAATATCTTCTTCCATCTTTTGAAAAAATGACAGAATAGGATTTAACCATACAGTTAAAGCAAGATAACATAGTTAAGCTTCCTAGTTGGCTCAGTGGTAAAGAAAACGCCCACCAAGCAGGAGATATGGGTTCAATCCCTGGGTCGGGAAGATCCCCTGGAGAAGCAAATGGTAACCCACTCCAGGATTCTTGCCTGGGAAATCCCATGGACAGAGCACCCTAGCTGCCTAGTCCATGGAGTTGCAAAGAATCAGAAAAGACTTAGTGACTTGATAGCAGCAGCGGCAACACAGTTGAAGATCTCTTCTGGGGCTCTCTCTGTGTGAACCACACCAAAATATGAATGAAACAAATCCAATCCTGAATAAAACAGAAACCACAGATGGCTATGGAGAAATTCAGGCATTCATTGAGAAAGGCACAAAGAAACCCTAACTCAAAAAGAAAACTCTTCTTTGTTTGGGGCCAGCAGGGCTCTCAGTAACATTGCTTTCTGTTTTCTCACAAAGGTCTGCCTGCTGCCACCAAGAGACAGCAATGACACGTGGTCATCTGGGATATGCCTGACTTCTTAATACCGCTTGGAGCTGGACGACATCCGACACCCACCAACCCTTCTGCCCAAGGCCCTCTGAGGACTCAAAATACTTATGCTGTAAATCACTTAAGCTGTGTCTCTCTAAGGCTGCTCTTGGGAAACAGGAAAGTGAGCCGTGAAGAGAAATGGCACCAGGCTCTGTGGGACTGAAGGTCCGTATTATTTCCCCAATTGGGCTTGGGGCAAACAGCCTCAGACCCAAAGTCTGAACAGATCTTTGAAACATGTCTAGAAATGCATCTCATGTTAAGTTGGGATTTTTTTTTTTTTTAAACAGCAACATTAATAAAAGAGGTGGCGTGGTCTTTCTGTGACCAGGTTTTTTAAGGAAAAAATTTTTCTATAATTTAGAAATTATAGACAGCAAATCCCAGAAACAGGGATGTCCCAGGCTATGAACCAAGCCACAACATTATATAAAGTGGAAGAAGCTTAAACCGGAACTTGCCAGGGCTACACAGGATGTACCAACTCCCATGCAGACTTCACACCTTGGTCTTGACCTTCAGAAAATACTGTCTCAAGATTATTTGTAAATGAGTGTCTTTTCTCTCCTCTGAAAACAAGGAGTATGGCAGAGGATGAAACAAAAGGCACAGGAAACCTGTTCCTAAGGAATATAAACATCCCAATTGCCAATCCATAAGCAATTAGCCGCCTGATTAAAAGAGGAAAGGGCGAGAAGTAGGATCTAAATGTTTGGATACACTTAATGTAGGGGTAGTCTGTGCATCATACTTGATGGCGAGGGCAGGATGGTGTCAAAAGTCTCATTTCTTAAAACGCTTGTTTGAGTCCTATGTAGAAGCAAAATTTCACATGTGAATTTCTGGGTGTTCGCCAAACTCTAACTAGGTTTCCAGGAATAATGTGCCCATTCTGATTATCAGGTCATGCCTCCTTTCCCCAGGCTTCAAGTGTGATAAGTCATCGGAATTTGACCCCAAGACTATCTGCAAATGACAGGGCACTTTATCACATCCCTGTGGAATTCCACTTACAGCCAGACCTTCACAAGACTAGGTTTTGTTAATAGAAATGTGAACAAGGCTCATACTCCATTAAACAAATTAACCCTAATCCATTAAAATGTAGCAGAAGCCTGGAAAACCAATGTTTTGACCCAGTGGTAAGATGTATTTGCAGAGTTAAGCGAAATACTTTAATTCTAGTTTCCTCTTACCACCCCACTCTCCTTTTCAGTTTTGTACACTCTTTCTTCCCTTTCAACCTCACTGTCTGTGGACAGAAACAAAGCTACAAGAAAAGCCTTAGTCTAAAAGTCTGACAATGAACTTGCTCCCAGCACTGCCCCTACCCCAACAACATGAAAAACTTGTCTGTTACACATAGAGATACAAAAGAAGTCAAATACTTTTTGAAACTGCTGCCTCATATCAGGCTGCCAGGTGATAAGAACACAAGTCTAAAGTACAAAGATTACATTTAACCAGTGCTCTCCTGGTGTTTCCACAAGCCCCTTCTAAAATCCAATTCTTTTACACTTGGGAAAGCAGCAGGTCCTATGACAGACCAAGAATTCATTCTATGGAGAAAATCAATAGCAGGCCTGTCTGATCTCAATACCACAGTAAGAGAACAGAGGGTAGAAATAGTCTCCTAAGTTTTCCCCACACCTCTGATACTGAACCACTGGCTAAAATCTATGAGCCTTATTCTTCCACCATGAAAACCAAGAGTGGACAAAGTGCTGCTCTGAGCTTAGAAGGGGACAAATCTACTCTTTTCCATCCCAGCTGGATAGATATCAGAATCTTCTGGAGCTCAAAAACACAAAACTGGCAACTCTCCCCCACCCCCAATTAAATTCCTATTTAAGAGGGAGTGGACCTTTATTTTAAAGAGATTTGTATGCATTTTGTTGAGAACTGCAGATTAAGTCATTTATTAGTTCACACTAAGAACCTTGCCAGGTATTTCACATATGTTGTTCTATGTTTTATGACTGAATTCAGACAGGTGCAGTTACAGAAACTACATGGTGGCCAGGACAGAGGAAGCATTCGCCAGGAGACTCTGAAAGCCTGCTTCCCCAGTGTCCTTGCCCGTTCTGACGTCTTCTCACCTGGCCCTCTTCCAACTGGGCCCTCTGACGCGTGAACCCTCCATTAGCCAACACAGACATGTACACAGAACCTCATTGGAGCACCCCCCCCACAAAGATCTTTAGTTTTCCATTTTTGTCACCACAAATTCCTTGTAAACATAAAACTTTTGTAATTTAAACAAAAATCAAACTCATAATTCTCTCCTAGGATGAATTTGATGCCATAAGGATAATACCAAGTAGGTGCACAAATGACACAAGATGCAAAATTAATTGAAAACGGTCATCCTTCCTGAAATCTCTCTTAAAACAGAAGAGAAGTAAAAGCAATGCTGCCACCTAGTGGCAACCCAAACAAATCACATAGCATCCCCAGCAAAATAAGAGGTCCTAGGCCCAACATTTGGTCCCTTCCCCTTACCTTCCTGAAAAAGAAAAATTCCCAGCATCAAGCAACCCCTCCTCCAGAGTCTCATTCAATCCTGGGAATACAGCAACCCAGGTCTGGCCTGTGACACAGACTACTTCACAAGAAACGGTCCTCTGACCACTTTAAGGTCAGTTTGCTCAGTCCTGTGGCCCAGGTGATGCAGAAGGTAGACACATCCAAAATGCTCTTCTATTCAGAGTGTGTACACAGTAATTCTGATGTCTGTTGCCTCAAAGACCTCCTCAATTATTGCGGATACATTTTCCCATTGCAGACGATCAAGACCACATCCAATCCTGAAAAAGACAAAACATCTCCACTGGTTGTGATTGAGGAAAAGGCTCCTTCTGTCTTTCCCTAGGCTGCATCCACCCAAAGCCAAAGATAACATCTGGTTTCACACCTATAGGCAACCATGGTGGGAGTTTAGAAGTTAATTCCTATTGTGAGTCACCTAAGGCTGTTTCCTGAACAGCCCTAACATCCAATAGCTGTCACTTCTCTTTTGCCAAATAAAGTACCAATTCCCAGTTACCTCAGGGTACATTTAGAAATGTGTAACTGCCACAAGACAGAACAACTATTTCTACTAGTGAAAACAAGCCGTGGGTGGATGGGAAAAAGTTGGTATTTTTAAAATGTGTTAGTCACTCAGTCATGTCTGATTCTTTGTGACCCCATGGACTATAACCTGCCAGGCTCCTCTGTCCATGGGGATTCTCCAGGTAAGAATATTGGAGTGGGTTGCCATGCCCTTCTCCAGAGGATCTTCCTGACCTAGGGATCGAACCTGGGTCTCCCGCACTGTAGACAGATTCTTTACCGACTGAGCCACCAGGGAAGCCCATTTTAAAAATAAACTTATGGTAACGGAATCTTAAGGAAGATAACTGGGAAATGCCAAGCTGATTGTATTCCAATCTTCCCAACACCCTGGTGAGAAACCTCAATCAGCCCACAAAACTCTTACTACCCGGCACCTTTCTTCCAAGATGTTACTTTACTGATCTTCAATATCCCCAGGGAAAAAAGAAAGGCTTAAAATTTATAATTTTATACTAATGAGTTAAGTACCTGAAAAAACTGTGATTAAAAAAAAAACAGTTTCTGGTACATAAGTCATGAATATATTACAGACCAGTTTAAGACGAGGGACCAACTAGCCACATTTCTAACTCAGAGCTTGGAATAAACCTGCATGCATGGTCAGTACTGACTCAGAACTAGTCTGACAGGAAGAGAAGGGACCCCAAGCCTATTCCTGAAAAGGAAACAAAGAGGATACTGAACCCCCAACACATCAGTCCCTTAAGTTCCCAATATCTAGGGTCTAAGTCATTACATTAGCGACATATCCTCTGGCCACTATCCATGCTGAACATAAATAAGCATGCAGTTTACAAAGCAGTGATAAGCTACAACTTTGTTCACACAGAATGAACAGGTCTGGGACATCTGAAGTGGCCCAGAGAAAAATCACAATTGCTCAGTCTTGATTCTTTAGCTGTACTAGAGGATGCCTAGAATTCAACAAATAGTGGTGAACAATGGTTCCTCCCTACTAGGCAGGCTGAGGAAGATCTGTGTTTTCATCATCCTGATTCATTCAGCCCAAGCTAAAAGATGGGCATGCCTTGAGCGAAGATCTGACAACTGGTTTACTGATGATTTTTAAATGTTTTGATCTGTCCACCTTTAAGTCTACATTTTGGGTTAAGGAAAGCTTTTCAATCACTTGTCCTGGGTAGGACAGTAAGCCCCACAGTCAAGTCTTCACTCAGGGCCCCGGGTTTCCTTGCCTCGGCATGGAGAGTTCGGTGACTCCATTCCTCAGACAATGGGACTTCGTGGCCTCTAAACTCTTCCTCAAGTTTTCGTAAGTTGGCTTGTGTGATGCCCTTTTCTTTGTAATCTGAGTGCGAAGAATAAATTCAAATTTCCATTAGTCCAAAATGAAAGCCAAAGAAACATCATCATGTTCTCCCAACATCGTGATAATTAAAATAAGTACACTTTTATAGACTAGATAACAAATGTCATATGGTCTCTTCCAATTATGGGAATCCATTGAATAGAACCAGAGACCCAGACACTGCCGCATCTTTTCTTTTCCTAAGAAACCCAGATGAGCAGGTGTGCCTATTGTCTATTGTTTTTAAGCAGGCAGGTGAAAGCTCCTGTGCTACTTCCAAGAGATAAGCTATTATCTGTAACAAGGAAGAACTCACAGCACCTAAAAATTTCCTGTTAGGTTTATTTATTTAGAAACAGTGCTTGCTTTTTACTTCCCTATAAAAGAACAGAAAGAAACTGGTAGCATTCCAAACAAGATTTAAAGTCATAGTAGCCTTAAAAGACAGCATCCCCACTTTGTGTGCTACCCTAATCAAGCTTGTAGTGAGCTGGCTCTAAGTCATCCAGCAGCATCACCAAGAGGGTGCACTCCTTCACAGGTCAAAGACCATCGGGACAGTGGAAGAAATCCACATGGAGGAAGCAGGCAGGAGAGGAGCAGAGTATTAGCTGGCACTGCATTTGGTAAGGAAGATTGAGAGAAAACTCTTTAGAGCAATCCGTCTCTTGAGACTTTATTGTCTCTATTTCACTAGGACAATGAAGGAATTAAAGCAAGGGAAGCATCCCTAACTTTCGCACATCATGTAACAGGTCTCTGGTAAATATCACTACTTCTTCCCATGCAAGTTGGAATGCAGCCTCATGTTTTTAACCCAGTGCACCAAACAGCTACCACCTCTGGGTCTGAGTCAGCATGAGGTCAGCTTTTGACCATTTTTGGTTGTCTATAAAGAAAAACTGTGATCAACACAAGTGCAGCACAGCCCATGTTTGCTAATACTTAAAACTTACTGCGAATTGGCCCCGTCTTACCAGGTAATATATATATCGTCCATCTCTCTTCAGAACAGCCACTTCTCCAGACTTTTTCTCTAAGAAAAACAGTTATTTAATAGTAGAAAAGAAAAACGAAAACACTGATCTTCATTCTTAGATTTTTAAAAGATCTTTATAGATCTGAGTCTACTTCAGAACTAGAATTAATTTTCAACACTGAAGAATCCTTTGATCCTTATCAGCCTTCCTAAACACCATGTTCCTTAACTTCCAGTTTTCCTGTTTTAGGAAATCACGTTTTCAATCACATTTTCCTCATACTCTGTCTTCAATCCTGCTGCGTTTTCAAATACCCTTTCCTATTCTCTTAAAAAATATTAATGTCTACTGCCCTGAAATGTTTTAGAATGTACAGCATTTTTTACTTGCCAAAAGTGTATTTAATAATTTAATCATTATCTTTTTACATACAAACAGCTAATGTGTTAAGCATTATGGGGAACACAGATGTATTAATATTAAAAACTTCTTATTTAACAGTTTCCAGTCAGAAGAATGTGTGGTGTTTTGAAACAAATATAACATAAAGCAGTAAAAAGTTGCTTTCTTTAGGCTGGGAGCGGAATCACCAGTGGAGACTGACTCAGTAAGCCTGCACTGTGGTCTAAGCAACTGTTTCAGAAGCTCCACCTGTGATTCTGGCACACATTCCTGCTTTACAATCACTGGGAGCAAGTGAGGTAAGTGTTTGTAAGGAAAAGTTCTAAACTCTTTGAAGTATAAGCACAGTATGGGCAAACAGAAAATCCTGAATGCCAGGCTAACAGCTGTGGACTTTGCTTAGCATGCCAGAGTTTTTAAAGGTTTCACACAAATGGAGTGATATTATTAAGAAAGGTTTACGAAAGAGGGAGAAAAAGTTTATTTATGAAAAAGTTTCATTTAAAACTTTTACAGGAACTCAGGTTTCATGGGCCAACCCAAACTCTGTAGAGGAAAAACAATCTGCAGTGTTAAAAGGACTCGGTAGTTAGGAACCCGATCAGTGCATATATATCTTGTTTAAATTATTAAGCTTAACAGGAGCATCAAAAGATGGTCTAGTCAGGGCAGGTGAGTTCAACTGCTTTCAAAACTCACGTTGATTTAACAGTTCCTGCACCCCTCCAAATTTTTTCTTGAAGAGGACAGCTATCCCAGCGCCCATTCGACAGTCCTCACTGATACAGTGCACTAAAGAGTCTGTTTTGGGACATGCAAAAAGGTCGCCTTTCACATAAGTAATCTAAAATGTGCAAAGAGAAAGAAAACATTTATTAGATATAGAAAAATACTAAGCTACTTCTTTTCTTTTATTGTGCCCACCACAACCACTACCTCTCCCCGCTCATCCCTCCTTCATTTAAAAGACAAATTTTCAGAATTTAACAAGTTATCTAAAGCGAATTAAAGCATGTGCAAAGTAAAGTAATGAGTGGGCGCTGCCTAAGATTGCATCAGCCTTTCTAAAATAAATCAACAGGAGAGAAAAAAAGACAATTCAATTACTAGTTTAATTAAAAAGCATTTGTGCTTTGACCTCAAGCATTCTGAATTTCAGTTCACCAGTAAGTTATTAGTTGTTACCCACTCGGCTTCCTTCTGAATCTTCATTAGGGCTGCCAGCCATGATACTGGGTCGCTATTTCTTCAGCTATAAAAAGGGGAAAGGAAGTCATGCTTAGGCAGCCACAATATATTACATTCAGACTTCCCTGACCACCCACGTACTAACTTTTCCACCCACCGTTTATCGCTGAATGTGACTTCTCTAGAAAGGAAAGCAAAAATCCTCTGGGCAAGGAGGGGAGTAATAATGGCTGGTTCAGACGCGGCCATGACCCGATTGCATTTCGCGCTTCCCAGAAGCGGAAGAAAGGCAGTCCTAGGACCCGCCTCCTCCTTTTCCCGCGCCCGCGCCGAGCAAAGCTGATTTAGGACAGTCTTTTCTCTGAAAGATACAAAAGTACTTCCCCACTGGGTCTGGCCCAGGGACAAAAAGGTGGAGCTTGGCCACAGTCCCGCTAAGTCGCCAACTAAAGAGTGTACCGGTCAGGCGGACTGTACTGCCAAGGCGCGGGAAGGGGTGAGAGAGAAGGCGGCCCCTCAAGGAAGGCTCACTACCATCTTTTGCGGGGGAGAACTGAGGGAGAAAGTAAAGAGAGGCCTCCCATTCTCTGTCGCCTACCCTAGGGCTGATCAGCCAAGGCGTAGGGCCTGTCCCGGGATCCCGTGGGAGGAAGCGAGGAGGCTTGCTCAAAGCACCAACGTACTGCGGTTACCCTTCACCTGGAAAGGAGTTGGCCGTTACGAGGTCCCGCCCCGCGGGGAAGGGCTCTGGTAGGCGGGTAACAGCGGACGAACCCACGATACGAAGCCAATCCCACCACAGCCTTTAATTGCGCGCACCTAAGATGGCCGCCCACCATCCGGGGGCCGGGCGGAAACGAGCCCCTCTAGCTAGCTGGCCGAACCTGCACTCTTTGGTGATGGCCGCCGAACTTCCGGCGGTGAAGGCCGTAGAGCCCCCGACCGCCGCCGCCGCCCGGGCATGCGTAACGAGACAGCCGAATGCAAGTTGGGTAGAGCGGCGCCTGCGCATTAAGTCCCAGGGGGTGTGTCTCCAGGGGCCGCATAGAAAAGGGAGGGCAGTTGCCAAAGGAGTTACTTAGCGCCTGCGTGGTGCTAATGTTCAGGGCGGTGTTTGAGTGGAAGGGTCTGGCGCGCCTAGAAGGCGCCTGCGTATTCCTACGGTCGGGTGGGAACCAATCAGGAAAATGGGCGTGGCTGAGGCACACGCGTGCGCGGTGCTGCTTCTGCGGGGAGGTGGGGCGAGCCCAGAGCTCGGGGTAGGGGGCGTGGCCTAAGAGGCGCCTGCGCGGAGGCAGTTGGAGGGAGGCCCGATTCCCCTTTGTTCGACTTCGCCATTTTGCGAGGCAGCGGCAGTGGCGGCGGCAGCGGCGGCTGGAGCCTCTGATTGGGTTTCGGGGTCCGGTACTGGAGCCAATCAGCGCGGGCAGCGAACCGGGGGAGCGAGGCACGGTGAGTGTGAGGAGCCAATATCCAGCGGCCCAGAGCCGGCCCCAGCGCCCCGATTGGCGGGTCTCGCTGACCACTCAGGAGAGGCCCAGGCGCCTGTCGAGCCCCGGGAGTCGAGCTGAGCCTAGCCGAGCGGGGCGACCTGCTGCCCCGGACCGGAGCCTGCGAAGCTCTCCGGGGCACTCCCCACCGAGGCCTGCAGGGGGCCGCCCCGCGAGGGGATGGCGCACTCGGGAGCAGGCATCTCGGGGCCCAGACCCGCGCAGGGTGCAAGGGCCAGTTGGGGATGCGTCGCCGTTCTCCCCGACCCTTTGGCCCAGTTTCTCGGACCCCAGATCCGGGGGTGTGGAGTTTGCCAGCCACAAGGCCCTTACGTTCAGGTATACACACACTCGGGCCTAGGCAGTGTCCTCCTGGTCTTTCTGGCCTCACAACTTAAACCTGCCCTTGCACTCAACACGCGGCGGCCCCCGGGACGGGAAGTCTCCCCCCGCGGGGCCTGCGCACCCCTCTCCTCCGTGAGCGGGTTTGTCCTGTCTGCAGCCTTCCTAGGTGGGGAAGGAGGACCGGGGTAGACGCGCGCCGTGGCCACCGGGCCCCGCGTGCAGCGCGGAGAGGAGGCCGGCCCGCCCCCGCCTCGACACTCTGCGGGTCCGCCCCCGCCGTCCCTCTGCCGGGATGGGGGGGCGGGGAAGGGGTTCGTTAGTGCGCCCCCTCCTCTGACCCCGCTGCGCCCCTCCTCCTAACGCACTCCCGGGTCTCCGGTCCCGGCGCCGTTACCACCCCCTTTTGGCTCGTCATTTCCTCTCTTCCCCGCCCCGATCGCCGGGCAGAACCGCACACCTCCGTCCTGGAGCCCATCCAGGCAGTGTCCCTTCCTTGCCCGGGCTGTAAGCCTCTGTCCATTCGGTGCCTGGAACCTCGCTCTTGGAAGATTGCGAGCTCTGTGCATTCCTTTCCCCCGAGGCTGCACAATTTGCTTTCATTAGTCGTGTCTGTTGCTGCTCATCTCGTGGATTCTCGCCCCCTTAGGAATGTACAGTTTCTTTTCTTTCACGTTTCTGTGTCACTTCGAACATGTCAGACTTCACTCGTTAGCTTGATTCACAGCCATCTCTTGTTTTGGTTTTTCCCAGTATGTTGACGTTTTCTTGGATATTTATAGAAACTTAACAGTCTTCTGGGGTTTTCGTTAGGGTGAGAGATCATCTCCTTTGACAGCCAAGTATCGAACAGTTAGTGTGAACCAGGCGTCCATCTGCTGGGCGGAGAGTGATTAGAGGTCGATGAGAACCTTCCCAGCCTGGTGGAGATTGACAGGTGAGCAGGTAATTCATATCTCAGGGTTAGTGCTGTAACGGGGCCAAGTTCAATTCTGTGATGTGTGAGCTACCGACAGCCTCGGAGGAAGGCCAGCATTGCCACACTTTTAATTGGCCTCGAAGGATAATGGGATTTCTTTGGGTAGGAAAGAACGGAAGAGCGTTGTTCACAAAGAGAAGAGCATGTGCTGAGGCGCCAAACTTTGCTGTCTGTTAGGGTAAAGAAGAAAGTATAGGGCAGTGGGCATCTGTAACAGTTTAGTAGGTTGGGAAACGCAGTTGGTAAAACCACTTGTATATTTTGCTAAGGGATTTTTCGGAAGCAGTTATTTTGTGGAAATTTCAGAAGAAGTCTAGAAGCAGATTTTTTATATTTCAAGTTTGGAAAAATAAGTTACTGGTTTATGAGATTCTCCTCCACAGTAACAGCTGACTTTGGGTGGGAGGAAGGGAGATTTTTCTCCTAGGACTTTAAAATTTTTTACTCAGGTGAAGCACAGTACAAGCAGTCCTTGTTACATACAGTCAGCCTTTAGTATATGAGGCCTATTTTTATAATCACATTTACTAAAGTCATAGAACTGGTAAGTTTCAGAAAGCTACTCTAGTGGTCTTTCCGCTACTAAAAAATTGGGGACAGTTTTGTTTTCATTTTTTGCCATGAGTTTTTTATTGTTGAAATCATTTACAAAATTGATTTGGAAAATATCTGATAGATGGGGCACTGTGATTTAGATTTTTTTTTAGAATGTTTACATTTGCCTTTGGAGAGGATAAATACTTTGGGACTTAAAAATGGTAGTATGTGTCACTTTAAAACCAGCAAACATTTTTGCTAGACTTCTTTCTAATAGACAGTTATTGTCTAGTCACATTATTGCTAAACCCCTCTAGAAACTCTGCCTATTTGCAAACGAGCTTCCTTGCCTGAAATTTCAAGTACAGTAATCTGACCTTTAGCTTTCTCTTGACATGTGGCCTTTTAGCCTGCTGTTTTATATGTGGAAATTTTTCTTTGTTTTTATGCTATGTCTTCATTTGGAGCACTCCATTCCCTTCCACTTTGTCACATGTAAATCGTCCTTATGCTTAAGACCAGGTCAGATGCCACATTTTCTTCTAGAGACTTCATGTCTATCCCCAATTTCTGTCCTTCAAACTCTTTTGTTTGTTTTTTTCCGTTAGGGATTCAGTACAGATTTTTACTCCTTTACTAAATTTAAAGATTCTCTGAAGTTAAAAACTTATAGTTTTCCTTTTATTTCTAAAACCTTCAAGACAGTGTTTGACCGGTGGTCCATCATTAGTGGAGATTATGCAAATTAGGAACTGCAGTCCAGAAACCTTTTGGATGATGGGGATACAGGACAGCCCTTTGTTCTCTATAGTCTTCTATCAAACATAGATCAGGACCTGTTTGTTGAGTTGTGAAGTCAATTTAGTGGGCCAATTCTGGTAATTTTTTACAGTAGAATAGAGAATACCACCATTCATCTTAAGTTATACTTACAAAGATCAGTCATGAAACTTTTAGTTACTTTTTAAAATATATTCTAAGTGCATTTGTGATATGAAATGTGTTTCTTGCTGTGAACTGTCAAAAAGTTTAAAAACTGCTGTTCTAGTCTTTGCCTGGTAGTGATGGTCAAATATGATAATTCTGCAGGATTTTTCACTTGTTTATTAAGGTTGAGTTTCTGGTTGAGTTTAAATGTGTGTTGGTCCAAAACAAATGGATTTCTAAGTAGTTAGCTGCATTTCAGGTTCTGTACCTTGAAGTGAGGAGGAAGAAATTTTCTTGCTAACCAAAATAAATATATGTTCTTGCTGTCTTTGAGGAAAAGACATTCAAACTTTGAGTTAGGAACAAGAACTAGACAGACTAAATCCAGCTGACTTAATTCTGTCAGAATGTAAGCAGAAAAGCACTTGAAGAAAGACGATGTCAGATTATATTGCAGTTCTGCTAACTGAAGCTCAGTTCTGCTAACTGAAGTGGGAACATATGGCTTCACAGAAGCTGGTGGCGACCGTTCTTCACCATTAGCAGTCTAAATATCATGCGCCACGCTGAATCACTCCCTCATTAATATATGACAGGAAATTGCTGTTAAACTTGAGACCCCTTCTGTTTTGACCCATCAAAGTATAGTGGATTTAAATGTTTTTAAGTTGTAGCATTTGTCTTACAAGGATAAACTAGTTAAAAAGAAAACCTGCATGAGATTTTTATCAGTCATTTCTCTGCACTTCCAGTATGATGTAAATTTCTGGAAATTAGGGGTCAAGGAAAAAAATCTCACACAGGAAGGGGATTGGAGGTGGAGTGGGTTTTTAAAATACAGAGGACATTCCTTGTTTAGACATAAAGGATAATCATTTTAAGTGTATGTTTTGATGGCTTTTGATAAATTTATTCACAAATGCAACCACCACCATAATGAAAATATAAAACATTTTATCACCCCAGAAAGTTCCAGATGCTCTATCCCAGTCAACTTCCCTCTTCTCCTGTTTTCCATTTCCAGGAAACCACTGATCTGCCTTCTGTCTCTGGATTACTGTTACCTTCTCAGGGTTTCCTATAAATGAAATCACACTACTCATGACCTTTAATTTGTAATTTTATTAGCTTAGAAACATAAATGCATTGGGTGTATTGCAGTTAGAGACAAGATGGAATTTAGGAAAGACCATTCACTTCCCTGGAAGAGCCACTTAGTCTGACCGAAAATCTGGTTTTCTCAGAGATTTTGTTACCAGAATCTCTGAGGAGCCAACTCAGTCAACCAGTTTAGAAGAGACATATAAAAATCAGAAGGCCGATTTGTCAGTATGCAATGAGAAATAACTGTTAGGTTTTCTTGTGTTACTGATCATCCCTGCTTCCTGTTGGCTACTGTATATGTGAATCCAAATTATAGCTCGATGCGTGTTTGGTGAGCATTCTGACAGAGCAAGGGTGGTGAGTTGAAGAACCACATGACCATATATACCATCACACTCGGTGCCATAGTCATCCTGTCACTCATTTGTGGCTCTTATACTGTGTACCGGTTTGGTTATAAGTAATAGACTTGATTGAGTTTTATTAGATTTTCCTCCAAACGTTTAGTATAAAATTTTTAGTATACAGTAGAGTTTTATAATAAATACCTGTGTACCCGTCATCTAGAGTCTGCTCGTAATGTACTGTACTTGCCTCTAATTTTAGAGAGGAATCTGTATGTATCTATGTCTAAACTTCACCCATCAGTGCACTTATTCCTGAATATTTGGGCATTCACTAATACTGAGACACTTTACAATCATGGTGGGTAATTCATCTCATCTACCATGTGTGGATTTGTGAGGAGA